TTTTAAAAAAAGTGTGTATGTGTGTGTGTTTCCCTCACAGAAACAGATACAGAGCTGCGAGAAGGATCCAAGTCTTGTACACCAGAGCTTAGATTTTTTTCCTAAATGATATGTTTGAATTTCAGAAAGATTTTCTTGGCTGCTATATGGATTGGATTGAGAGTCTAAGAGCAGAAAGAGTTATGAGATCACTACAGTGACCCAGGCTAGAACGGAGGCATTCTGATGTGGTGTAGTAGCCAGGGGATGGGAGAAGGGACCATAATGCTTGGTAAGGAGAACCAGCAGAAGACCTGCGCTGGAGCCAGAGGAATTCTGGCCATGACAAGGCTGCTGGGGCTCAGGCCAACGCCAGATCCAGGGTCAGAGACACTTACCCAGATCTGGGTTAACATGGATAAAAAAAACTCTCCCAGAGGTCGGGCACGGCGGCTCAGCCTGTAATCCCAGCACTTTGGGAGGCCGAGGCAAGAGGATTGCCTGAGCCCAGGGTTCGAGACCAGCCTGGGCAACTTGGTGAGACCTTGTCTCTACAATAAATCACAAAAGCTAGTTGGGCATGGTGGCATGTGTAAGTAGTTCCAGCTACTTGGAAGGCTGAGGCGGAAGGATCGCCGGAGCCCAGCAGGTCGAGGCTGCGGTGGCCGGGAGCGGCCACTGCACTCCAGCCTGGGCGACAGAGTGAGACTCCAACGCAAAAAAAAAAAAAAAAAAAATCTCTCCGAGAAAACCTGCATCTTGGGCTCAGAGAGATGTCTTGGCTAGGGTTCAGCCCATTTATGTGGTGTCAGAAAGGAAACTGAGGCAGACTCTCATGAACACAGTCACTGAATGGGAACATAGGCCCCAGTTCTAGATTTCCTGCAGTGGCCACTCAGCCCCTTTCCATTACTTCTGGAGAAAGGCGTTCCCTGTTCTTGCACAGCACCCCGCTACCAGAGGAGTACAGGAAACACCAGTGAGGAATTCTGGCCATGACAAGGCTGCTGGAAGCTCCATGGAGGAGGGTTAGGCCTGCCAGATCCAGATCCAGAGAGAGAGAGAGAGAGAGAGAAGTTTGAAATACACAAGAGGTGCTGGCAGGATAGGGGACTGGACAAGACTGGAAGGGGCCAGAGTTCCTGACACCCTGGGCAATAGGGATACAGGTAGGGTCCAGCCCAGTTCCTTTCCCGCTCCCCAGCTCCAAGACTCAGCTCTTCCTCATGGATCCTGACATTTCAGTGCTTGCTCCCTGTTTCTTTTTTTTTCTTTCTTTTTTGAGTTGGAGTCTCACTCTGTCACCCATACTGGAGGGCAGTGGCCGCTCCCGGCCACCGCAGCCTCGACTTGCTGGGCTCCGGCGATCCTTCTGCCTCAGTCTTCCAAGTAGCCGGAATTACAGGCATGCGCTACCATGCCCGGCTGATCCTTTGATTTATTGTAGAGATGAGGTCTCGCTGCCCAGGTGGGTCTTGAACCTGCGGGCTCAGGCAATCCACTCACCTCAGCCTCCCAAAGGCGCGGGATTACAGGCTGGGCCACCGAGCCCAGCTGCTCCCTATTTCTTATATCCCTCTTTTTTTTTTCTTTCAGTGTTATTGAAGTAAGGGGAAACACATCTTGGCTTAGAATTAGGTTGGGTGATGGCTTCAATAATGCACATTTCAGCTAGCTCCTATCTTTAGATGTATTCGGGCTGGGGATAGGCCATGCTGTTGAAAGGTGGGTAAATGCTGGGTCTGGTTTCTAGGTCTAGGCCTCTGGAAACAGAAAACCAAGGTGCTAGACCAGCTTTGATTACTAATTTTCTGTGTGAGCTGAGGCCAATGCCCTCCCCTTTAGAGCTTGTTTGTTCATCTGGGCTTTTGTGATTAATAGGGTCAATGGCAGAGACTAGACTAGAAACCAGATCCCAAGCCAAGGGCCAGCTTGCTGGAATGTTGCCCGACAGGGTGTGCTGTGTGTTTTCTCCCCATCTAGCCTGTAAGACACCCCTGCCTGCCTTCAATGCCCTTCTGAAGGGTTCTCCTCCTTCTCAGAATCCCTCACAGATTATTTCTTCTTCACCATGCCATCTCAGACAGCACACACTGCTTGGTCCAGGGCTCTCCAATAGAATTTTCTGCAACTATGGAAATGTTCTATGGTTTGCACTGTTCAATATGCTAGCCACTGGTCAAATATGGCTTTTTAAACAGTTGAACTATGGCTAGTGTGTCTAAAGAACTGAATATTTTATTGCAATTTTAATTACTTGAAAAATTAAGGCCGGGCTCGGTGGCTCAGCCTGTAATCCCAGTGCTTTGGGAGACCAAGGTGAGCAGATTGCCTGAGCCCGTGGGTTTGAGACCTACCTGGGCAACTTGGTGAGACCTCATCTCTACAATAAATCAAAAAATTAGCCAGGTGTGGTAGCGCACGCCTGTAGTTCCAGCTACTCGGAAGGCTGAGGCAGAAGGATCACCGGAGCCCAGCAGGCAAGGCTGCGGTGGCCGGGAGCGACCACTGCACTCCAGTATGAGCAACAGAGTGAGACTCCAACTCAAAAAAAAAGAAAAGAAAAATTAAATGTAAGAACCCACATGTGGCTAGTGGCTACCATATTGAATAACACAGGTTCTAACTAGAGCTTTCCTCTCTTTGATTCTTGTATATCATAAGAGTTAGTAGGTGTTACTATTTACTAACTTTTTGCCAGTCTTTGCATAAGTGCTTTTTAGACAACACAATGAATCTTGACATTCCAGTTTAAAAATGAAGACATTAGTGGCTCATGCCTATAATCCCAACCCTTTGGGAGGCCAAGGCAGGAGGATCATTTGAGGCCAGGAGTTCAAGACCAGCCTGGGCAACATACATGACGCTGACTCGGCAAAAAATAATAAAAATGAAGAAATCAAGATTAGGTCAGGTTGTATAGAAAGCTGGAGGGCCATTCAACTGTAGCTCATGCTCTCTAGACATTTAAGGAACTTTCCAGGGCCCAGCTGGCTGTCTTCCTTCTACACTGACTCCATAGCACATGGTTGGGCACCAATGCCTGGGGAGACTCATCAGTGGGTATCAGTTGGCAAATGGTAGACACTCTTTTTTTTTTTTTTTTTTGAGTTGGAGTCTCACTCTGTCACCCAGACCAGAGTGCAGTGGCCGCCACTGCAGCCTCGACCTGCTGGGCTCCGGCGACCCTTCCACCTCAGCCTTCCAAGTAGCTGGAACTCCAGGCGTGCACTACCATGTCGGCTAATTTTTTTAAATTTTATTGTAGAGATGAAGTCTTGCCAAGTTGCCCAGGCGGGTCTCGAACCCGCGGGCTCAGGCAATCCACTCACCTCAACCTCCCAAAGTGCTGAGATTATAGGCTGAGCCACCGAGCCCGGCTGGTAGACACTCTTGACAAGAAAGAGAGAAACTGCTCATTCTCCATCTCCCCAGAACCCAGGATATCCTGATATCCTGATACTCTCCTGATATCCCACCTTCAGGTATCTCTCCTTTTACCTTTCTTCTGGACTGCAGTATCCTTTGGGTCACAAACTTGGAGCTCATCTGGGTGCTACGTGTAAAGGGCTGGGGAGGGGTTGTCACAGACAGGCTCAGAGAAAGCCATTGGGGCTGAGAACTGGGGTCTGGAAGACTTCTTGTTTTTAAGGAAAACAAGAAATAGTATTATAATAACAACTTTTATTGAGCACCTACTTTGTGCCAGGCACTTTACATACTTCTGTACTTACAATTCACACAACAATCAGGGAGGTAGGCATTATTATCACCATTTTACATATGAGGAAACCAAGGCTCAGCAAGGTTAAGCAGCTTGTTCAAGGTAACACAGTTGGTAGATAAGTGATAGAATCTGCACTTGGGATATGCATTTGTGAGGGCCCAAGTCTTTCATTGGGAATTTTCCACACTGAGAAAATTAAGGGGGTAAAGAAGTGGACAAAGGGATGCATCCTCTAGGGGGTGGAGTACAGGTTCTGCGTCAGAGTTGTTAAGAGAAGTTGAGTCTATCCTGTTTCCTGTCTCTGGCAAGTCACTCTTCTCCAGATTCAGCTGCAAAGCCCGAAAAAAAGAAAAACAAAACAAAACAAAAAACTCAACTCACTCTAGCTGAGGTTGCTCTTCTTAGAAAGAGAAAATGGCTAAGATGAAAGACTCTACCCTGTCTGTGTATTGGTAGGTGTTGTGTATGTGTGGAACCTGTGTTCAGCACACAACACCAGAATTAGAACATCACTCCCTTCTAGGCCACACCCCTGCCACATGTGCAGGGAATGAGACAGCTGAGGAATCTTGAAAGGGCTATTTATTTCCTACCAGAGTCCCAGGGAAACCACCTGGGAGGAGGCTGGCTCAGCAATCAGAACCTCAAATTTGCTCCATACCCCCTCTCTCCAGGCTTATCCAGCCTCTGAGATGTCACAGGCATTCTGTAAATCAGGGACCACACAGGCATTCTGTAAATCAGGGACCACCATGGTGTCTCTCTCTCTCTCACGTACACATGTACACACACACACACACACACACACACACACACACACTCTTGAGTTAAGGCACCAAGTCTGGCCTGTATGGCCCTGCATGTCTGTTCCCATCAGGCACATCTGGCCCAGGGCTGAGCCCACATACGTACACAGAAGGGTTAGTGCAGTGTTAGGAGTCTCTTCACCAAAAGGGGACATGGATGATGACCGTGCTGAGCCCAGTCCTCCTGTTCCCTGGGAGGGGACCTCTTACCTCCCTGTCAGTTGGCCAAACACCTCTATCCCTTTTCCCCAGCTGGAGTGGGACCAAATCGGCCACAGTTGAGGCCAGTGCTGGGAACTCAGGACCTGGATTCCAACACTAACATGATACAAGTGCGGTGGGGGCTATTTGGGGACCTTAAAGAAAACCAAGCCCCCACCTCAGAAGGACAAAGTTGGCCACGAAGGCCAGGATGGAGGGAGAGGTTTCTCTTTGTGCTTTTAAAACCCAACCATGTGTAACAGGAAGAGAGCTGACCCTTTTCCTCTGTGCTCTCTGGTCCCCACCCCAGGAAAGAGGGTTCTGCAGCCTGGAGTGAGTGTGGAGGGGAGAGAGCGGTTAGGATTGTGCGTTAAAGCGGGAGTTTGCTTCACTGCCCCCTCCCCAGGCCCCACCCACAGCAGCTGGCTCAGCGCATTTAAGTCAGCGCCCACTTAACGAGCAGCGGTACAGAGATGGGGACTTCCTGGGGGCACGCGATGCGGGTGTGATGAAGGGTTAAAGGTCTGCATGAGGGCTGGAGGCTGTGCGGCTGCAGGGTCCTGGACTGGCTCAGGACGCCCAGGTAAAGTAGGCGACCTCGTCCAGGTCGACCGGGTAATCAGTGAGCAGCACCGGCGTCTTGTCGAAAAGCTCACCCTTGTAGCTGCGCCACTTGCCGGCGGGCAGGTAGACGTCGCGCTCTTGCTTGCCTGGCTCCAGCACCGGAGCCACCAGCAGCGTGTCCCCTATGAGGAACTGCGAGTCGATGCGGTGAGCCGTCTCGTCGCCGGGCGCAATCCACCAAAGGGGGCGCACGATGGGGTCACCCGTGTCGGTGACCTCACCGGCCAGCTCCAGCAACAGCGGCGCCACGAGCGAGGCCCGCAGGGCGGCGAACCTGTGCGCGACGGCCACCACTTCCGCGTCGTATCGCCAGGGCGGGACGGAGAACTGCATGGCCGGCATGAAGGCGGCCACCTCCAGCCAGCGAATGTAGAGCTCGCGCTCGGGCACACCGCCGCCGCCCGCCGTGCGCTCGGGCGCCGAGTTGCCGCCCACCATGTCTGGCAAGATGAACGGGTAACCCAGCATGCTGACGGTGAGCACGGCGGGGATGAGCGAGCGCAGCCCCAGGTCGTAGCCCCACACCGAGTCGCGATCCACGAGGCGGAAGAAGCACGAGATGTTCTGCGACTGGTAGCCCACGCGGACCTCCGCCAGCGAGAAGAAGGGCAGCGCCATCTCCGTGTAGCGCCGGCTCCACACGCTGGGGTCGGGCAGCGGCCTGTAGGTGCTGAAGTCCCGCGGCAGGTAGCTGACCTCACCCGCGTCGAACTTGAACGAGGCCACGGAGTAGCGGGAGCGCAGCCGCCGCAGGTGTCCCTGGAACCAGTCGCGGGCCTCCGGGCGCGTGAAGTCCAGCACCGCGCCGATGCCGTTCCACCAGCGCACCAGCGCGGGCAGCCGGCCCGTGGGCTCCCGCACGAACAGCTCGCGCTCCACGCCCTCGCCGAAGCGCGATGAGTTGTAGTTGACGAACGGGTGCACCCAGAGCGTGACGCGGAAGCCGGCCTCCCGCAGGCGGCGGAACATGTCGCTGGCGTTGGGGAACTTGACCTCGTCGAAGTCGAAGTCGCCGTAGGCGGGCGTGTACATGTCGTCGACTTCCAGGTGGCTGCTGTTGAAGCGGTGCTGGCGGATCTCCTGGGCGAAACGCAGCACCTTGTCCTGGTCCACGGCGCGCCCGTACAGCGCCCACGTGGACCAAATGGGGTCTCGGAAGGCCTCGGGCGCTGGCACCCGTGACGGCTTGTTGAAGTAGCGCCGCACCATGTACTTGTGGATGGAGGTGACGTCGGAGCCCACGCACACGCGGTAGCTCAGCTCTAGCGCCGCCGTGCGGCCGGCGGGGGGCTTGTAGGGCGTGTCGTGGTAGCGCGCCTGCAGCCGCAGGGAGCGCTCCGTGCCGTTCCAGCCCAGATGGAAGGGCACCGAGTCGTTGACTTTGATGGCGGCCGCGCGCGAAGAGAGCCAGTAGCGTTCCAGGATGCCCCCGAACGCGGCGTCGGAGGAGTAGACGTCGCTGGTGACGAAGGGCTGCGGCTCCTGCTGGCCGTCCAGGCGGATGGGCCAGTGTTGAGTCCTCATCTCGGCGCCGCCATACCAGTGCGCCGCCGCGTCGCCCAGGAACATGGCGTGCTCCACGGCGCGTCCCGGCGCCGCCTCCTCCCAGCGCACGCGGTAGCACATGACCGTGTCCTTGGGCCGCACGGTCTGGATGAAGAAGTGCAGCGGGCGCCCATCGGCCGTGCGCGAGCAGCCAAGCAGGGCGCCCTCGCGGCTGCAGGAGTCGAGGTCCAGCGCGCCGGAACGGAAGGCCAGGCGGAAGACCTGCTCACCCTTCTGGTTGCGGATGGAGAAGCCGCCGCGGTTGAGGTCCAGCAGCTCCGCGCGGAGCCGTTCCGCCTTGCGCAGGGAGACGCTGTAGTAGCACCAGGCCACGACCGCCGCCAGCACCAGCAGTAGCCCCAGCACCGCGGAGCCCAGCAGCGGCTTCAGCTCTTTGGACGGCTTGGGCTTGGCAGGCGAGAAGTTGTCGGGCAGGAACGTGTACATCGCGGCTACGGCGCCTGCCTCGGAACTCTGACGGCCTGAGGGGCAACCAGGGTGGCGGCGGCGGGGGCAGGCCTGGCCCTTCTCCGGAGGGTTCTGGGACATCAGTCCCCAGCTGAGAAGAGCCGGCAGTGGGGCCACCTGATCAAGCTCATCTGGTTCTGTTCTGAAAGGGGGAGAGAGAGAAATGGAACTGAGCTTTCTCATTCCATGGTCTTTCCATTTAGAGCGCTATAGAGGAGATCTATACTTTGGGAAGGTGTACAATGGAACCTAAGGGCTCGGCGAATGGCAAAAGTTAGACTCTTACCAGGACAATCTGACCCTTTACCTACTCTTTCTTATGGACCCCGGTGCTTGCCCAAATTGGGACTCTGCATAAGGGAATGGGCATGTGAATGGGAGACAAAATGCATCCTCATTTTCCTGGGGGAGAAAAAAACTCAGAGAGGGTCAGGAAGCTTTCCAGAATCACAGAGGATCACCCATGGGAGCAGTTCAGGCTGAAGAGGAGGGAACTGGAGAGGTTCTGGTCTCTCAAAGGTATGGATGGCCACCGTGAAGAGTGGAGGAGAGGGAGGTCCAGCCAGCCCCTTGAGACTTTTAGCAGGGCAGTAGGCTGACTTCCCTGTCCCCAGAGAGGGAGAGGAGGGAGGGAAGGGTAACAACTCAGGAATGGAATTTAATCTTGTGTCAGAAGCCAGGTGAAATCCGGAGATTAAAGACACCCAAGCCAGGCTCAGTGGCTCAGCCTGTAATCCCTGTACTTTGGGAGGCCGAGGAGAGTGGATTGGCTGAGCCCGCGGGTTCAAGACCAGCCCGGGGAACTTGGTGAGACCTCGTCTCTACAATAAATTAAAAATTAGCGGAAAGTGGTAGTGCACATCTGTAGTTCCGGCTACTTGGAAGGCTGAGTGAGGCAGAGGGATCGCCGGAACACAGCAGGTTGATGCTGGGGTGGCTGTGAGTATGCCACTCACTGCACTCCAGCCTGGGTGACAAAGTGAGACTCCAACTAAAAAAAAAAAAAAAAAGACATCCAAGCCAGATTCAATCCCAGGGCCTGATTTGGAGGGTGGCAGAGTTGGGTTCAGAAATTAGGGCTGGGGTCAGGAGCCTGCCATGGCAGGCTGGCTGCCTCTCAGATCAGCTCCTCAAGCTCCACCCTGCTCTCAGCCATCCATCACCAAATCCATTTCCCTGCCCACTTTCCTGCTCTGCTCTCAGCACCACATCTTGGGCCAGCTGCCTCCTAGCTCTGTCTCTCTGCTCACCACCTGTCCTGCTGCCTCTGCACTGTTACTTCTCCCCTGTATTACTGCAACACTTTCCTCAGTAGGCCGCCCTTCCCACAACTTCTCTTTCTCTAGTGCCTTCTGCTCACAGCAGATGCAGACACAGTGACCTATCTTTCTTTCTTTCCTTCTTTTCTTTTGAGTTAGGGTTTTACTCCATCGTCCAGGCTGGAGAGCCTCCAACTCCTCAGCTCAAGCGATCCTCCTGCATCAGCCTCTTGAGTAGCTGGGACTACAGGCACACCACACCCGCCTAATTTTTTTTTTTCCCGTAGAGATGAGGTCTCGATATGTTGCCTAGGCTGGTCTTGAACCCCTGGACTCAATCCTCCCACCTTGGCCTCCCAAAGTGCTGGGATTACAGGCTTGAGCCACTACACTCGGTCCATAGTGAGCTTTCTTTTTCTTTTGAGTTGGAGTCTCACTCTGTCGCCCAGACTGGAGTACAGTGGCCACTCCCGGCCACAGCAGCCTCGACCTGCTGGGCTCCGGCAGTCCTTCCACCTCAGTCTTCCAAGTAGCTGGAACTATAGGTACGCACTACCACGCCCGGCTAATTTTTTATTTATTGTAGAGATGAGGTCTTGCCAAGTTGCCCAGGTAGGTCGCGAACATAGTGATCTTTCTAAATCACTTTTTTTTTTTTTTTGAGTTGGACTCTCACTCTGTCATCCAGGCTGGAGTGCAGTGGCATTCTCACGGCCACCCCAGCATCAACCTACTGGGCTCTGGCGATCCTTCCGCCTCAGCCTTCCAAGTAGCTAGAACTACAGGAGCGTGCTACCACGCCCGGCTAATTTTTGATTTTATTGTGGAGACGAGGTCTCACCAAGTTGCCTGGGCTGGTCTCGAACCTGCGGGCTCAGGCAATCCACTTGCCTTGGCCTCCCAAAGTGCTGGGATTACAGGCTGAGCCACTGAGCCCGGCTAACTAAATCACTTAGTAAACTATGCCTATCCCTGACTTCAAGAGCTCCTCATGACCCCCACGATGAAATTCTGAAGTATATGCTTTGCAGTCAAGGCTTGAGACATGATGCTGTCTCAGCTACCATTTGGATTCCATTTCTAGCTAGGCCTGTCCTGTGACTACCACACTCATTCCTTCCCCAACCTGAATCCTTCAGGCCACCTGGTTCGGGAAGTTTCACCTACCCAGCTAACACCTCTCCTCCACTTACCAGCTGTCCAGGGATAAGGCACCCATCACTACCACTATACACATAAACCCTCACACACCGTTTGCTAAACATCCAAATATGCCTGCAGGGAAACATAGGCTCAGGAAGATGTATGTCCCAATCTGCTGCTCAAGGCTACTCACCCCTCCTGTCCCAGCCTTCAGGGCAGAGTCCAGCAAAGAAATAACACCAGCCAGGCGCACACACAGGCATACTGGCATACACACAGCCCTCCAGCCGGTTGCTCAACTGCTCCAGCCAGGGAAGAAGAGAGGGAGTTTGGCAAACAGTAATTAACCTCCTCCCAGATACCAGAGTCTGTCTCTCAGTCCCCCGCGACTTCCAGGGAGATGCCGGAACTACTTAGGTTCTTCACCTTCCTAGACTCCCCCTTGCAGACACTATCAAGAATGCCAGGTGCAGATCAGAATTTTGATCCTAGATGTCAATACACAGCTCCTCCCATAGATACCATCCCCATCCTAGGTCAGGCCTCATTCTCAGTGCCCCCTCCCCCAACTGCCTAAGCTAATCAGTCCTTGCTGGTCTAGAACAGCCTCTTATTGCCTTCCTCTCAGCCAACAACAACTTATCTTTCCTCCTCCTTCCCACAGATACAGGTTGGAAAACCGCTCCTGGATAAGACAGGTAGTGGCCTTTCACTGATGCCCTCAGGCTGAACAGAACCCAAAGAAGGCCTCAGGTGGCTCAGACCAGACTTGCTGTACATTTATATCCATTCATTCAAGACAACCAAAGCCCCATTCTGGGCACCAAGGAAATAAGGGGAAAAGCAATGTCAAAATAGGATAGAGACCCTCCCTCCCATCTCCAAAACTTTTATTAAGTTAGCCTATTTCATGACCCCTGGAGGCATGAAGAGGCCACCAAGGTGGATTCAAAAGCCATTTCCAATACTTAGGTTCTGAGAAGCTTGACTTTCTAGGATTCTGAGGTTCTCTGATGAAGGACAGGAGCCCACAGGCCTGGGTACCCACTCCATTCAGGCACTATGATGGTCTCTCAAATGCCACCACAGCATCCAGCTCTAACAACAATGTGGAGCAGTGCCCATTTTACAGATGAGGAAACAGTGGCCCAAACAGAAAGGGACTTGTCTGAAGTCAGTCAGATAGCAGGTTTGCCCGGATCCAAAATCCTAGCTCAACCCTCCACAGTGTGTTTGGGGAGATGGAAGATAGTGGTCTGACCTGGCTGCCTGAATGCAGAAAAGAGTTGGGTGGCTGAGAGGTTAGGCTGGGCTTTTATCAGATGGGCATGGGCATGGTGCTACGGCTTGCTCCAGGCAGACCAGGAAGGCCTCTTAGGAGTGGGAAAGGGGGCAACTTTTTTTTTTTTTGAGTTGGAGTCTCTCTCTGTCGCCCAGTCTGGAGTGCAGTGGCCGCTCCCGGCCACCGCAGCCTCGACCTGCTGGGCTCCGGCGATCCTTCCGCCTCAGCCTTCCCAGTAGCCGGAATTACAGGCGCGCGCTACCACGCCCGGCTGGTTTTTTGATTTATTGTAGAGATGAGGTCTCGCTGCCCAGGCGGGTCTCGAAGCCGCGGGCTCAGGCCATCCACTCACCTCAGCCTCCCAAAGGCGCGAGATTACAGGCTGAGCCACCGAGCCCGGCAAGGGGGCAATTTTAATGCCATCTGGTACTGGGGCTGTGGGGGAGGAATTTTGTGGTTCCGGTGTTAACAGTGGTGCTAGAGACCCCTATAATCTGCCGCCTCCGCCTCTAGTCAACCAAAGGCTAATGCTAGCAGGTGGGGTCTGCAGGGCAGGCCTTCTTGGGCTCTGCCCCTTTAGAGCCTTTCCCCACTCCACATTCAACCTCAGTCTTCGCTGCCAACCCCTAGTCTGGTCTGAGGGGGAGGGCCCCGCCCTGCTCTACTAAGGGGAGGCCATTCCTAGCAGAGTCGTTAGTTGGACATAGTTCCCAGGGAGATCGAAATGTCAAAGGCAACTCGATCCGGCTCATCTCCCTTTCTTGCCCGGCGACAGGATCCGCGGGGATCGAGTGACCGCGCCTTCACAGTCTGGAATACTCCACGCACACCCTCAGCGCCCCACCCGATGGCTACACTGTCCGAAGGAGCCGACCGAGGCCAAGGAGCCTGTCGCCCGCCGGGAGCCGGGAGCCGGGACCCGAGGAAGGGCTCAGGTGTCCAGGCTCGCTCCACCATTCATCGGTAGGAGCGAAAGTTCAGAAATCGTGTTCCCACAGTGGCCACCCCCTCTCCCACCCGCTGCTTCCAGTCCTCTCGCTGGGCTCACCCGCGGCAGGGACCGCCCGGCAGAAGTGGGGGGGAAGGAGCCTCCCGCAGATGCCCTCCAGGGAGCCGGAGTTGAGCCGCCACGGCGCCGCGCGCGGCGCTGCCCGGCTGGACCCAGCGGAGCCCCACCCCGGGCTCCGCCCCGGGGCGACTCGGCCACGCCCCCAGCCTTCCAGTCTCGTCTCCGGCCTCCGAGTCCAACCCTGCCCCTGGCGTTCAACCCCTCCTCCCAAGTTACAACGCGAACTGGGACCCGCCCCTTGGCTCCCATCTTCCGCCCACCGCTCTGAGCCCAGTACCTGGCACTTCAGGCTCTCCTCCTCCCTCTTGCCTCTGGGCTCCGCCTCCCGCCTGCGGGCCCGCCCTGCGGGGCGCGTGCTTCGCGGAAGTGGGCGGGCGCGGTCCCAGGCCTGCTGGGAAATGCAGTTCTGGGCGAAGGCGCTCCGGCGGAATGTTGGGGTTTCTGCACCTGCAGGCTAGGTGTGGATGAGAGGAGTGAGCGCAGGGAAAGGAGCAGGGTTGGCCTTTGGAATTCCTTCCCCTCAATGTTTGGACAAGTGGAGGTTTATCGGTATAATGCGCTCATGAACCTCAGTTTTCCCGTACCGAAAACCGCTAGCGGAATTCTCAAAAATACATTTGAGAAAATGTATCCCAATTGAGAGGGTTGGTAGAGGCCTGATTTGACTAGCCCTTCACTTCCAGATGCTGATGGGTAAGGACACAGGAGGCAGCCTTTGGGGGTGAAGAGTTTATTGCTTCAACCCCTTGACCCGGCCAGTCCAGGCTCTACCAGCAGCGGTAGTCAGGATAGGTCTCAGACACAAACTCAGGATGGACGATATAGTTGTTTCTCTGAGGACCACCAGATTTCTTTTAAGGATTTTAAGCGCCCAGTGCAGGGTGGTTCCAATGAAGTTCATCACGGTGGGAACTTGTAGTTCCAACCTGCTGCGAGGCCCTAGCTGTCACTTCTCAACGGACCAAGCCAGTGGTGTCTGATGTCAGGGACTGAGAAGACCAGCTTGCAACTTTCTGCCACCCCCCAGCCTAGTTATGTATAGGGTCCAGCCACTCCGAGTGACAGCCTTTAGTTAGAAGTGCCCATGCTGCGGGAAAGTGGGAGTGTCCCACCATGCCCTTTCTACCATGGGAGGGGTATGTGTGCAAGATTCTGAGCTTTCATATTTTTGATGGAGAAAGGAAACTACTGCAGATCCCTGCTATTCGAGAACATCTCACCTCTTGCTCCTATAGGGGCGAGAAACAGGGTTTTGTTTTGCAATTTGAAATTCTTGGTCATGAGATCCTCCAAGATTATGTTTTGGGCCCATTGGACTTGGATGGGGGATGGCAGTAAGAGTGTCTGAGCACAGAGAGACTTTAGGGGGCTGTGATGGATACCCTGTCAACAGTGATTAAGAACTTTTGCTCTTGGAGAGGGCTTTGATTGTGGAAGGGAGAATTCTGGGTCCTCTGACACCTGGGAGGGCATCTAAGTTTAGGGGCATCATAGGGAAATTTTAGCTGGAGAGTCTTTATAGGATGGGAAGTAAATGCATCTTGCCTGCATTGCTAGGTAGACCCATTAGTTTGGGCTCTAGGATGGAGGGGAGGACACCAGCTGCATATAGGGCTACTGTTATGTGTCAGGAGTGCACTGAGGGAAGTACTGAGTTGGTGGGGTGGGAGGGGCTCAGGGCAGGGCAACTTGGAGAAAATGTATCTCAATTGAGAGGGTTGGTAGAGGCCTGATTTGACTAGCCCTTCACTTCCAGATGCTGATGGGTAAGGACACAGGAGGCAGCCTTTGGGGGTGAAGAGTTTATTGCTTCAACCCCTTGACCCGGCCAGTCCAGGCTCTACCAGCAGTGGTAGTCAGGATAGGTCTCAGACACAAACTCAGGATGGACGATATAGTTGTTTCTCTGAGGACCACCAGACTTCTTGAAGTGACTTGTGTCCCATCTGCGGGGAGAGATGGATCAGTCCTTTCGGACCCTCAGAGGTTGAAGTGAATATCTGACTCCAACTTGCAATGCTAACTTTATCCCAACACTTTGCCACTAACACTGACCTTAGGCTCTGATACTGACCTCCTGGACTCAAGTTCTGCTGTTAAATTTCTGATACCCAATACCTGCCCTCTAACACTGACTTCTTACCCTTTACTTCAACCCAACGTATTTGACTCCAAGCTCACTGCCAACCTGCAACTTTTCAAATACCGGCCTCCCTTGCCCTCTCACAGGGGCCTCCATTTCCTGACCAGCTTTGACTTCCCCATGGCACCAGCTCCCCCTGGTGGTATCTTCTTGTTAGTGCATCTCAGCGGAGCGTTCCCGCCCCAACTAGACCTTCCCCCCATCCTCATCCCGCACTCCCCCGCTCCAGCCCTGCCGAGCCAAGGGAACAGCCTTCAGGATGCACTTGTGCGTCAGACTTACTTAAGGTTCGGACATGGGTAGTATGACGGCGGGGGAGTTGTAATAGCACACTGCATTCCGGGCCGGTGCTCGCAGGGCGATACACTCCTGGAGGAGGAAGCGGTGGGCAGGGAGGGATTGGCCTTTTGACTCCTATCCCCAACCTAGACCAAGCGCTTCAGATGTCAGTCCCAGAGTTCTGAGATCCCCCTCTCCTCCTTCCTTGTCCTTCAAGACCTCACTGCAGCAGCGCCTCTGGAGAGCTCCCTGGAAGTCTACCTCCGTGCAAAGCCTCATTTCTGCCGTCCAGGGACGAACGCTTGAACGCTGGGGAGGGTCGGGCTCCGGCCATTGAAGACTTGGAGCCCGCGGAACCCCGCCATTGCACAGCAATTTCTCCAGCGCTATGAACCAGGCAAAGTTTCTGAGCCTACTAGAGGCTCAGACACTTCTCCGCTCCCCCAGTGGCCCTGTGAGGGTTAAAACCCAGTCGTGCACAATGAACCAGGCTCTCGGCCTGGGGAGGGTGGGGGATCACCGAGAACTCCTCTGCACAGCTCTTTAGACTCCCGCGGACGTGGGAGTTCTCCCAGGCTTGATCTGCCTTGCCCACAGCCGGATGCAGGACGAATACTGTGCTCAGGCCTGTTTCCTTGGTAGTAACTCGCGAGGGTGTCTATCTTCGGAGGTGGTGCGGGGCTCCAGAGGAGGCCAGCGCCATTCTGGTAAAGTTGTCGCCATTTCCTTGCTCACTTAGTCTCCGGCAATGACCCCACCCATTACCGACGGTGACCCGGGACCCAGGAAGAGAGGACATTATTCTGAGAACGCAGGGCACGCCACAGGTTAGAACTTGCGTCGCTAGGTCCAGGCAGGAGGCAGGACTATGAGAGGAGGATGCGACCGAGGTGCGGGTTTTCTTCCCCCCAAACCCTCCGACAGGACCTCAGAGCGTACACAAGGGCAAGGCTGACCTTGAGCCCAGTACGGGAGAGGCAGAGCCAGGGACTTGGAGGAACCTTTGTATAGGCTCTCCTGTCTCAGTTGCTAGCTCAGGCACGGGGCCCGAGGGCGGGACACGTCTGGGCCCAGTAGGCCAGCCGAGCCGGGTTTGGCCGGCTGGGGGCTGACCTGGAGCCGGGGCAGGGCTGGCGGGGCGGGGACGTAGCGCCGACTGCCCGGCAGGGCGGGCTCCGGGGCGGGGCTTGTCTGGGGCGGGGCCCGGCTGAGGCTGGGGGAGCCCCGCGAACCTTACAGTCGGTTGCTCCCGGCACACAGGCCGCAGGTGGCGGTCGGCGCAGGACGCCCCGGGGGCGCAGTAGTCCACCCCGCGCAGACAGTAGTGACGGCCCGAGCAAGCGCTTTCGTAGCCCTGGAAGGGCAGGCGGCCGGGCAGCGGGTCCACGCATCCGCATCGGGCCGTGAGCTGCGGCGGCGGCTGGTTCCGTGACAGTGAGTTCAGCATGTTCACCACCACGTCGCGCTCTGCGCCCGCGGGCCCCGAGCCCGGGAGACCCAAGACACAGGGAGGGGAGGGGACAGGGTTACGCCCTCTCCAGGACCGTGGCGCCCCTCCGGGTCCCCCAGCCCCGCGCCCCGCCCTCCTCTGGCCTTCCCTGCCCCCTCCGCCGCCCCACCACTCGCTACCGTAGGCGTTGAGCCGCTCCGGCTTCGGAGGGTACTCCAAGGGCATTCCTCGAACTGCTGAGTCCATCCCGGCCTCCTGGAAGGGGCGCACACGCGTCTCAAGCTCGGATCCGGGGCTTGAGTTGCTCGCTCTTGGGGGCCCTCCCGGAACGCCCAGATCTATCGTCCGGCTGCGCCTTCTGAGGTCTCTAAGCAGCTCCCCCACTCTCCCGGGCTCTGAGGGTTTGGGGTTGTCGCCGGGCAACGCGTTTCCTCCGCCCACAGGGGCGGGCGGGCCGTGGAGAGGGCTGTAGTCCACGCGGTTCGGATCCTAGGCCTCTGACTGCCCTGCCTCAGCGCTTGCCACCGATTTTCCCCTCTTTGTCTAGCTGACTCTGTTTAGCTGTGTCTGAGCGTCTCTCAATATTGCTTGCCCGTCAGAATCACATGGAGAACAGTTGAAATTCAAGAGTTCAGCCAACCCCAGGTTAGCCATGAGCCTACAGTTAAGAAGCCCACGCCGCGGCACGGTGGCTTACGCCTATAATCCTAGCACTTTGGGAGGCCGAGGTAAGAGGGTTGCCTGAGCCCAGGGGTTCGAGATCAGCCTGGGCAACTTGGCGAGACATCATCTCTACAATAAATCAAAAAATTAGCCGGGCGGAGACAGAAGGATCACCGGAACCCAGCAGGTCGAGGCTTCTGTGGCTGTGAGCATGCCACTGCAACTGCATCCAGCCTGGGCGACAGAGTTAGACTCCAACTCAAAACAAACAAACCAAAAAACCCTTCACTGGGCACGGTGGCTCACGCCTGTAATCCCAACACTTTGGGAGGCCAAGGTAGGATCACTTGAGTCCAGGAGTTGGAGACCAGCCTAGGCAACATAGAAGACCTGGTCTACACACACACACACACACACACACACACACACACACACACACACACATAAAAGAAAAGAAAAAAAAAAAAACCATTATCCTGGCATGGTGGCTGTGCCTGTAGTCCCAGCTACTTAGGAGGCTGAAGTGGAAGGATTGTCTGAGCCCAGGAGGTCAAGGCTGTGGTGAGCTGTGGTCAGGCCACTGCCCTTCAGCCTGAGCTACAAAGTGAGACCCCGATTTAAAAAAACAAAAATATAACCCTCTGCTCTGGCCTTGGATCTTCTCTCATTCCCTCAGGTCTGGGACTGTGGCTGGACTCTCTCCTGTCTCCTTGGATGACCTCTCCTATATCTGCACTGCCAGGGAATAACCTTGCTTTCCCTCCTTTTGTCCTTTTGTCCTTGCTCACATCACAAAGGGGGAAAAGGCGGAGTAAGGAGATTCAGTTTATCATTGACTCCTTGGTCAGCCCCCGTGTCACAGGGGCCAGTCCCTATGGGGAGAGGCCAGTTGGCAACTTCAGGAAGGCAGCATGTCAAGGCGAGCACACCAACTGTGTCCTACAAAGCCCGGGCAGGGATTGAGAGAGGGCCCCAGCACAGCCCCATTCTTGGGCTCCCTTTTCAACTAAAAAACAAACAAACAAAACCACAGCCAGGCATGGTGGCTCAAGTTTGTAATCCCAGCACTTTGGGAAGTCAAGGTGAGAGGATTGCCTGAGCCCAGTGGTTCGAGACCAGCCTGGAAAACGTGGTGAGAACTCGTCTCTACAATAAATCCAAAAATTAGCTGGGTGTGGTGGCACGTGCCTGTAGTTTCAGCTACTTGAAAGACTGAGGTGAATGAATCTCCTGAGAGCCCAGCAGGTCAAGGCTGTGATGGCCATAAGTGTGCCACTGCACTCCAGCCTGGGGAACGGAGTGAGACTCCAACTCAAAACAAAACAAAACAAAACACAAACCCTATTTTCACAGATGGAGAAGAGCTCTGGAGTATTGTGGTGGGAAAGGGAAGCGGAACTAATGGCGAAATATCAGCTTTAGGAGGTGGTAGAATGTGTGTGTGTCCAAGAACCCTGGCATCTATGCTAGGTAACCATAGATACCTTAGACAGCCGGGGAAGGTAGGTGGTATACTTGTTCCAGCAGCTGCTGTTGTAAGGTCCCATCCTCCATGTGTTGTACCGGTCACTGTCCAGGTAGCTTGGGCTGCATTTATCTGCTAGAACACAGGGATGGAAATGTCAGGTAGTGGTACTCCTTACTCCACCCCAGGATCTTGGACTCTCTAGATGTTTCTTCTATGACTCCCAGCACAAAACCGGCCCTCACTGGTCTCCCTCAGGTCAGTCCCCAAGCCTAGTTGGGCCCATACTTGTCTTAAACATTGAGATGCAGCTCATGTCCCACACCTAAGGCGGCCTTCTGAATGGGGTCTGGATTCATTGTGTTGATCACTTTTCACCTTGGCATTACCCTCTCTGAGTCGGCCATTCTGGAAGTGAGGCCTCCTCTCAATTCCTCACTCTCATCTTCCGCTCCTGGCTCCAAGGCTTGCCAATTCTGCCTCCTTAAAAATCACTTGAATCTATTTCCTTTTCCCATCCCCCATGATCTCACTCCCATATCTCTGCAGTGCTTTAATCAGGAGATATTGGGGTTGTCGCCCCAGGCCAATGCATTTATTCTGCCCACAGAGGTGGCCTGTGGGAAAGGCTGTAGGTGGCCTCTGACAACTCTGCCTCAGGGTAGGAGACAATATAATGTCATGGTCAATAGATATCTATCTCTGCAGATAGATTGCCTTTTTTCAAATTTCAGTTTTGTCAATTACTAGCTGTGTGTGACCTTGACCACGTTAATTAATTTTGCTGTCTCAGTTTCTCCAGCTTTAAAATGGATAATAGTACTATTTACCTCATAAAATTGTTGTGAAGTTTAAATGAACTAGTAGATGGAAAATGTTTAGGATGGCCTCCACATAAAAAGCTATTATAATTAGCCTATAGGTCTCCTTGCCTCGGGCTTGAAATCCTATAACCCAGCCTTGACAAAGAAGCTGTCAAGGTACTTTTTTCACAAATCAAATTTTGTTCAAGATACTTTCCTACTTACAGCCCTTCATAGTCAGCCACCCTCCACCCCCAGTCACCTAAGCTGGTCTTCTATGATTCACTCCCCCGGTAGTCTGAAAGAACACTTGTGAGAACAGTATGTATGAAGTCCTACAAGAAGAGCAGGTGTGTGAGGGGAGGTGATGGAGCATTGGGATTTGGAGTTCTGGGTTGGTGGTTTGGAAATGCTGAGATTGAGGTGTTTAGGGACATCCAGGTAAAGACCATAATCAGATGAAGGAGAGTGGACTTCTGGTGAGAAGTCAAATCTGGAAATAAAGTTTGAAACTGTCAGTAATTAAAGCCATGCATTAGGCTGGGTGTGGTGGCTCTCGCCTGTAATCCCAGCACTTTGGGAGACTGGGATGGGAGGATTGCTTGAGCCCAGGAGTTCAAGACCAGCCTGGGCAACATAGCAAAACTGTCTCTTTACCAAAAAATTAAAAAATGAGCCAGATGTAGTGCCCTGCACCTGTAATCCCAGTTACTCAGGATCGAGTGGAAGTGGAAGGATTGCCTGAGCCGAGGAGGTTGAGGTTGCCATGAGCCATGAAAAAAAACACAACAAAACCAAACAAACTTATGTATGAGATAAAATGGCCAGGGAGGAGCAAGGAGAAGAGAGGACTCAAGATAGCATCTGAGGAGCACCATGTTTCCACAGTGGATATCCAGCACAAGAGACCCAGGAAAGTGAGGCATCAGAGAAGCCGGGGAAGGAAGTCATTTCAAGTAGAGAGTGGTCAGAAGAGTGAAATGCATAGGATAGGACTCATAGGGTAAAGACTGCAGAGTCCCTTGGACTTGATCCAAGAGCCACACAAGAGCAATTTTAGTGTTCGAGTGTAGGCGATGCAGATTTCTGACTTCAGTTGGGAATAATCAGTTCATTCAACAAAGCCTTAGGAAGCCTGGTGCTGTGATCAATGGAGGGGCACAGCTGTGAAGAAGACTAGTCTCTGCCTTTTGGAAAGTACAGGGACACAGATCATAAACACCTAACCAAATGAGAAAGGTCATTTCTCATACAGTGTAAGAAGGGGTGAGAAAATAGTGAGTACAGACCATGTTTCTGAGAATCTTGGCTGCTGAAGAGAGGAGCAAGAGATAATTTTTAGTCAGGAAGTAACTAGATAAAGGTTTCAGGTTGAGGGAAAGAGGTGTGGTGGGCAGAGGGATGCGGGAGAGATGGAGAGAACTTATGGAACAGGGTGGCTAAGTAGATGGCATCCGGAATACACTCGAAGGGATTTGTTTGTCGGAGGTTAATACTCTCACCATCTCTCTAAAGATGAGACACAGGGCTGTTCCAGTTCCTTTTCCACAGATAGGGAACCCCAAAAGGCAGGGCTTGAGTCATCTCCTCCAAAGTCAGGGTCAGGTCAGGTGGTTGGAAGTCAGGTTGGAGTGGGAACTGGTTAGGGAAGAAGTGTAGGTCATGGGTGGAGATAAGGTTGACAGATAGGATAAGGATGGAGAGAGAGGTCAGGATCCAGGCTGGGTTCAAGTTTGGGGTCATTGTGGGGGTTAGTGAGGGGTGAAACCCTACCTTCCCCTTGAGAGAGCCAGTACTTCTCAGGCAAGTAGGGGTGACCTGATATGGAATCCTTATAGCTGTAGTCTTGTGTGGCACATCTGACCATCTTCTGCAGGTTTTCAGAATCCACGTGGCGCTCTGAGGTATGAGTCAGACCCTGGGCGAGGGGAGAAGGGAGAAGTGGCTGGGTGCATACAGACCCCATTCCTGTGGCCTTGCCGGACCTAGGTCCAGACTCTCTTGGGAAGGTCAGTCTAGATGGGGGGGTCTCCCAACCCCGCTCCCCAAGCCAGAGGGAGGCCCATGCCAACCTTGGCCCCTCTGCACCGTTCTCTTGCTTGAATTGCCCTTTCCTCCTTCCTTTCTATCCAAGGCTGGGTCTAGGAGCCAAGCTCTTGCCCTCAGAGTGGTTTTCTGTCTTTCTCATTTCTGTCATTTCCTGACCACCAGTTCGTGAAGGCCAGAGCTGCATGATCCTGTCCTGTCCTCTTTCTTCTAGACTGTGTGCTGCCTGGGAGTGGGGCCTGGGTCTCCTCCAATAGAACAACAGGCCCCTGGCACAATCTGGAGCCTCAGAAAAGGCTGGTTACCTTGGGAGGGAAGGGAAGACTCTCTGGGAATCTAGTACCTTGAAGGAGCCAAAGGACAGGGCTGGAGGGTTACTTACTTTAAAAATTAATTCCCTAACTCTAACCTGACTCTGATTCTGCTGTGACTCTAACCCTGACATCAATATTGCCTTTAACCCTGACCCTCACTTTGACCTGGTCCTCATCCTATCTTGACCTTTTTTCTGTTCTTGATCCAGACCCTGGGCTCCTCTGCTTTTTGGGGTTCACCTCACCTCATGCCAATCACTCCCTGTTTGGCTAGATCTGTGGAAGCCCAGGTCAAAGCCTTCCTCTGAGGCACCCTTGTTCTCAACTGAGAGCAGAATGCCAAGTTAGTTGTGGGCTCACAGGTCTCTGCAGGTAGCTGAAAAGAACTGGGTCACAGGGGTAGGGCACCCAGCAAATGCAGACATCAGAAAGAGCTTCCTCATAAAGGGCGGTGAGGTGCTGACAGTGTTGCTGTCACCCACACTTACTCCTCATGATGCCTAGAGCAGAGGCTTCTCTTGACCAGGGCTTAGACCTTGCTGTTCCCAGAGCTCCAATCACCCTGAACGTCCCTCAGCTCAGGGACTTCTGGGACCAACTGTGCCCAGTTAGCGTTCTGTAGGCAGATCCTACACGGTCACACGCCCATGTGTGTGGAGGGCAGAATATGGGAGATATAGGTGGAGGGGTCCCATGACTCAGCACTTCCCTGAGCTACACACACACACACACACACACACACCCAGATATACTCAGAGACGCACCCAGATGTACATTCATACATATACACTGAACATTCGGATACTCACACACTCACAAATACAAATACAAAAACAGTCATTTAGAAAAACTCATAGACATCATCAGTTTTTCTGTTAGATGCTCTCAGATGTTTGCAATTTTTGCCTGCTCGTGTTCATGAGTAGGAGACTGAAAAAACTTATTGGAGGCTTTGAGCTGTGTGTGGGCTTTGTCAGTCATGAGTATCTCTGTAGAATGAGCTGGTTGGACTATGTTTTGCAAACTCTAATGTCAATATTTGTAGGTCTTTCCTAATGGACTGATCAGATTTTTCTGAAGACGCCTTCAATTTTTGACCCAAGGGTAATGACCTTGCTGCCAGTGTTCTGAGAACCTAGTGCAGAAGAGAGCTGCTGCAGGTTTTAGCATTCAGTATATGGAGGTTCACTTGTTTTCAATATGGTACCCTGCCCTCAACTGGTATCCTCAGGTCTGAGATCCTCACCAAAAGTTAACCTTTGGACTTGTAGAGACAAAGGTGGGCAGTCAACCCTATGGCATGGAATAGAAGAGGGGATTCATGGATTTAACTACTTCTTAAATGGCTTTCAAATAATCCTTATTTTAGCCTTGGCCCTGTCCCATCTCAGTTCCAGAGAAGCCTAGGAATACCAGTGCCTGAACTTTTTTTGTAAATTTTGCCATTTTAGGTTGGATTATGTCTTGGGTTTCCCGTTGCTGACTTTGAATTCAGCTTTCTCATATCTGCTAAGTCAGTTACTATGTAACTATCCATGCTTCTAAAAAAATATGTACTTTTTTCTTTTCCTCCTCCTCCTTCTTTTTCTTTCTTTCTTTCTTTTTTGTAGAGACAGTGTCTCTCTCTTTTGCCCAGACTGGTTTCCAGCTCCTGGGCTCAAGCAATCTTCCCACTTCAACCTCTCAAACTGTTGGGATTATCGGTGTGAGTCACTGTACCCGGTCCGGTCCAGTTACTTCTTATCTATTATACTTTACAGTGTCCAAGATTTTGTTGCCATTATCCCATTTTTCTCATCATTCTTGAGAGTTAATGTCTTAAATACTCATTTACTACTATAGTTTTAGAGGTGTTTCAGGAGGGAGTAAAAACATACGTGTTCAATTTTAACCTAGAGAATTACATTTCTTTTTTATTATTATATTTTATTTTAAAGTTGTAGGGTACAATTCAGGGCTAGGCATACAGATGTTCACTATGCAGCTACCCATGTTGATGAGGTGCGCCTTTCCCCTCCCCGGGCAGATTCCCACTATTGACAATCCCTCCCTCCTCCCCAAGAACTATATTTCTATATGAATCCTTCATCAGTTCATGTTACAAATATCTTTTCTCAATTTTGTGGCTTCTATCTTTGCTTTTATTTGTGGTGTCTTTTGATCATCAGAAGTTCTTAATTTTAACATAGTTGAATTCACTAATATCTTCTGTTATGGTTAGTGCTTTTTGTGATTTGTTTAAAAATCCATCCATACTCTCTTCTAAAAGCTAAACAGTTTTACTTTTCATGATTAATCTGCCAGGAATTTGGGCAACTTTTCTCTTCTTTAGGTATGTTTTAGGTATTTTGGGGGCCTTTTTCCTATAAATATTAGAAACAGTTTGTCAAATTCTTCAAAAAATCCTCCTAAGATTTTAATCAGAATAGCATTGAATCTTTATATTAGTAACTTTTCTTCCCCGTGAGCATGTTATATCTCTTCATTTATTTATTATTTAAAAAAATATTCACTGGGCGTGGTGGCTCATGCCTGTAATCCCAGTACTTTGAGAGATAAGAGGCAAGAGGATTACCTGAGCTCAGGGATTTGAGACCAGCCTGGGCAACATGGCGAGACCTCGTCTCTACAAAAAATAAAAAAAATTAATATAGCCGGCCTATAATTCCAGTTACTTGGAAGGCTGAGGCTGAAGGATTGCCTGAACTCAGCAGGTTGATTTTGCGGTGGCCATGAGCATGCCACTTCACTACAGACTGAGCGGCAGATTGAAACTCCAACTCAAAAAAAAAAAAAATTCAATAGTGTTTAATAATATTATTCATACAGTTTTACACACATTTTTAGATTTATTTCTACTAACTTTTTTGTTGCTATAACAAATGTATATTTTAAAAATTATGCTTCCGAAATATTTGTTGTTTGTATAAAGAAATGTTTTTTTTTTTTTTGAGTTGGAGTCTCACTCTGT